AACACTTCTGAGTTCTTGGTTTCTTACCTCAAATACGGGAATCTAGTGACAAGCTCCTGTACATTTGGGTCATGCCTGGCTGTTTATCGAGTGTGTTTACATGCTGTGCTACGCCTCTGTTTTTCCCGCCTCACAGAACTGTTGCAGGGATCAAGCGCGTTATGTACAGAAGAGCTGTAAGGGATTACTGCTGCTTTTGAAATATTTGCTTTCCTCTCTCAGTGTTGTGTTTCATCAAGAGTGGACCCTAAAAAAACAACTCAGATTGACTTGGATATTTAAGGTGTCGATGCCGTTCTGCCACTCTATGCATGATTTCCTCCTACCGTTTTCACACGCAGGTCTTGTACCCAAGGATCGTGTCAAAGGGAAGTTATCGTCAGTTCCATTTTCTGCCCTAGTGAACAGGAAATGTAGTAGGCACGGATAATCCAAAATAATTGGCTAGCTTTGGTATGCATTTTTGTACTTCATTTAACTCGAGTATGTGTGGTTGGGAATTCAGAGCTCTTGAGAATAAAGGATTGAGACTTGGGACTCGGGGAACCGGCATGAACAAAGCCGTGTTTTTCAGACATCGGTGCCTTGCCCATCCACCCTGACATGCTGCCAGCCCAAACCCGTTGCCACAGACTTGACTCCCCCTCACAGTGAGCCTGCAGTGACCCTCTGGTCTAGGGGAGCAGATTGCCCCCTCTTTCTCCTGGGGAGCAGCTGCTGGGTGCTAACTGCCAACCTGCCCCCTAGTGGCTGAGCCCTGGGACCCCTGCACCGCAGGACTTCTGCCGTCTGCAAAAACGATGTTCACGGTCTCATAGTTAATAGAAGTGACTAAACCTTTTTTAAAAAAAATCATTTTATCAGGGGCTCGTCCAATTCTTATTATAATCCATACGTGCATCCATTGTGTCAAGCACATTTGTACATTTGTTGCCATCATCATTCTCAAAACATTTGCTTTTTACTTAAGCCCTTGGTATCAGCTCTTCATTTTCCCCCTCCCTCCCCACTCCTCTTCCCTCACAAACCCTTGATAATTTATAAACGATGATTATTTTGTCATATCTTACACTGTCCGACGGAAGAGACTAAATCTTAAATGAAGAGTCCTTCTAGGTAATCTTGTCGCTCATACTCGCTTCTCCCTGCTGTCTCTCCCTTTCCAACTCTCATTTTACCCCCTTTGTAGGATTTTTTCCCTTCTCTCGTCTCATCAAGGTGTAAGCAGGAGGCTATGAGAAAGGAGGAAAGATTCTTTGGAGGGGCTGTCTATGAGGGCAACCTCCAGGAGCGCCCCCCTTCACTTGAAAAGATGATTGTCAATCAGGAGGTGTCTGATGAGGAGGAACCCACGGTTCGAGAGCTGCCAAAGTCAAAAGCAGCAACACACGGAAGTTCGTTTTTTTCGCGTTTTGGATGCCGACCGTGCCACCCGTATCAGCGTGTGCAATCTTGTGTCCTCTGTAAACCGGTGAGGGTGGGTGCCTGCCGGAGCCCCCGTCCGAGGAGCGTGGAGTCTAGAAGAAGGGAAGGTCACGGTATTGCTTGCCCTGGGCTGCGCCACCCTCCCCTGGCCTGTGCGTTTCCGACTATTTCACTTTGAGGGGCATTGGCAACCGAGGGTGCGTGATCTAAAGGACCAGTGAGGCGAATTCACCACACACACCGGTTGAAGGAACCAGAAAAGAAACCCTGGAGGCAAAGGGCTGTCTATTAGAAGGCTGTCTGACTTTCTGGAGACACTTGTGTGAAAGACTTCTTTGGGCATGCCCCGAGAGGGCAGAATCAGGATCATTTTGTGAGGACCTGGTGGGGTCGTGGCTACGCATTGGGCTGCTAACTGCAAAGTCAGCAGTTTGACACCACCAGCTAGCTCTTCAGGAGAAAGACAGGCCTTCCGCCCCCACGGAGAGGTTCAGTCTCAGAAACCCACAGGGGCAGCTACGCCCTGTCCTACAGGCCTCCCTGAGTCGGCATTGACTCAAGGGCTGTGGATTTGGTTTGGGTGTACTCTGGTTAGGTGTGAGCGTAGGCAGTCCATGTTACAGATGAGGAAACAGAATGGAGAACTAACAGACGCGAGGACCCACGGTTCGTGTGATCTCACGATCAGAACCAGGGCCTACCTAATTGTCAGGCCCGCTGGTACCAGGCTATATAACAAGACGGTGAGTTGGGATCACAGGGAAGCCTGGTCTTCAAACAAGTTCATTCCAGTTTGACCCTCTGAAAATGTGCTTTTCTCCCTGAGATAAACTGAGTCAGGATGTACATTTTAATAAGATGCCCAGGTGGTTCTTGTGTACACGATAAGAATCCATCAGAGTTACCAGGACATCTTGTTAAAAATGTGGGTTTTGATTCAGTATTTTGGGTGGAAAGTAATTGTCAGCGGGGAGTAGAAATGAGAACCTGACCGTAGGTGTCGGAGGACGAAGCGCACCATCCCAGCTTTCCTGGGTTTCCCGTGTACGAGGGTGGAAGCAGAAGACGGAGTTTCACTTATTGGAACCGGGCATTCTTACACCGGACAGGGGTACTTTAAACAACCTCCTTGCTGCTGCTCTGCCCATGTGACCTTCTGAACTTCAGATTCAGGTCTAGGTCAGGCTCTTCCTGGGTGAGATCTCATTATGCAGGGCTCAGGAATACTTGGCTAATGTAGATCCTGAAGCAGAGTTTGTAGAGAAATGGTCCTCTTTCTCATCCCCATCTTCCTCCTCCTCGCTGTGCTTTGCGAGTGCCTTCCTGCACGTGCTGTGCTGTGCTGTGCTGTGCACTGTCTAGAGCTCCGGGGATGGTGTAGAAGCTAGACAGAACCTAGAGACAGGAGGCCGTAGGTTGGAGTCCGTCTTCCACCAGTCTATTGGACAGAAGATCTTTTTTTTAAAAAAATCATTTTATTGGGAGCTCATAGAACTCTTCTTCACAATCCATACATATATCTCTCCATTGTGTCAAGCACATTTGTACATTCATTGCCCTCATCATTCTCAAAACATTTGCTCTCCACTTAAGCCCTTGGTATCAGCTCCTCATTTTCCCCCTCCCTCCCCATTTCTCCCTCCCTCCCTCCCTCCCTCATAAACCCTTGATAATTTATAAATTATTATTATTATTTTGTCATGTCTTACACTACCCGACGTCTCCCTTCACCCACTTTTCTGTTATATGTACCCCAGGGAGGAGGTTATATGTAGATCCTTGTAATCGGTTCCCCCTTTCTACCCACCTTTCCTCCACCCTCATAGTATCGCCACTCTAACTACTGGTCCAGAAGGGATCATCTGGCCTGGATTCCCCGTGTTTCCAGTTCCTATATGTACCAGTGCACATCCTCTGGTCTAGCCGGATTTGTAAGGTGGAATTGGGATCATGATGGGGGGGTGGGAGGAGCATTTAAGAACTAGAGTGTGTTTCATTGTTGCTAGGACAAGAGACCTTTACGGTATGGAGGGTAGCACAATGTTGTTGAGATGGGCCGAACCCAATTGTAGGAAATCACAGGAAGATCATAGTCAGATGGTTGACATTTACTTAAGAAAAGCAAATTGCAAAAATTCATGTAGGTCTTTCCCCTTTATTTTTAAAACCCAAGAATCACATAGAAAGTCCCCGGTCACCTCTTCAGATGCAAGCTGACTCATTTGCCCAACCACCTTTGTTCTCTACTTCCCAGGATCATGAATGCTTTCCTGAACCACTTTAGTTGTATTTTTTAAAGTGTTCTATTGTGATTTGAGTGAAGGTTTGGAGAGCCGATTGGCTTTCTAGTCAACAGTCCACACCCATCTTGCTTCATGGCACTGTGTGCAGTGCCCACAGCAGAACAGCCCCCACCCCCGCCACCCGGTGTTTACCAGTTTCAGTCAGCCTCCTCATCTGTCCTTTTTTACCTTTGAGCTTTATCCCAGGGCAGGTACTGCCCTTTTGATTTTATATGGTTTATTCTAAAAGGAGTGCATACCTCCCTTGTGTTATTGTCCATCCTGCACCAAAACCCACGGCCCTCGAGTGGACGCTGACTTAACAGCAACACCTCAGCGGGGAGGGAGGGGAAACGAGGAGCTGATACCAAGGGCTCAAGCAGAAAGCAAATGTTTTGAGAATGATGATGGCAACAAATGTACAAATGTGTGTGACACAATGGATACATGTATGGATTGTGATAAGAGTTGTAGGAGCCCCCAATCAAATGATTAAATAAAAAAAATACATAAAACAAAACAAAACAAACAACACCTCATCAGCCTTCTGAGACTATACATCTTTATGGAAGCAGATAGTCTCATCTTTTCTCCTGGGAGCAGCTGGTGGGCTTGAACTGCTGACCTCTCAGGTTAACAGCTCAATGCCTAACCCACAGTGCAACCAGGCCTCTTTTGCATACTCTATGGGATTGTCTTTTGTTTGGTTGCAAGGTGAGCCTTGGCTTACGCTTCCAGCCTGAAGAGTGACCAAAGGTGCAGGCTGCCCCTCGTCTCCACCAGACCAGCCAGCCTTTCCTCTTCTTAATATTCTGAGATTTTTCTCCCACCCTCTCCAGTGTCTTGTGACGGGATTTCAGAGGGGTCAGCAGCGGTAGCTGGGCACCATGTAGTTCTTCTGACCTCAGTTCGTGTGGTCCATTGGTACTTTGGACTAATTGTTTCCATGTGTCCTTCATGTTCTTCACTCTGCAGCCACTGATTTTTGGATGCCTTGACATTGCCCTTTGACTGTAAGACCCTGGTCTTCCTGTCGGGAAGAAGTATGGTATCCCCTGGCCACATAACGTAATGTTAACAGTTGACTAGAACTGGCAGGCTGGGGAGCAGGTCATCTTTTTGATCTGCTTATTATCTGCTCACATTTCAAAACTGTACGGGGAATGTTGATTTTAGCCAAGAGCTTGACAAACTCATACTCTTTTCACATCTTGGTTGGATACGCGAGGATGCTGGTTGTAAAGTTTCAAAGCAGTAAATATATTTGTACATCTGTTCATCTTTTTTTTGTAGTTTATTCACCTTGACGAAGATTGTGTAACGGAACTTTCTGTTCATCACAGAAACAACCGGCAAACGATGGAAGACTTGATTTCACTGGTAAGAAAAAGGACACAACAGGAATTTGATCGTAATGCATTTTTGTTTCATTCTTTACTTCATCAGCACATTTAAAATAGCGAACCATTTTCAGACTTTATCATGGGTGCAAATACTCCATTTTCTTTATATTGATGCATGATTTCCACTCAACCCTTTTCTGTTTCTTTTTTCTTTTTTTCCCTGATAGATAGTTCCCTTTTCTGTTTAGACATAGATAGGATCTCTTTCCCTGGAGAGTGCTATGTGCATTTGCCTCTAGCACGTGAGGTGGTGGTCAGGTGCTGCTGGACCAGTTAGCACACAGTGGAGCTGGCCCACCAGGGTCCCCTAATGGGAGCAGGTGGCCAGGTCTGACCCCTGCGGGGTGGTCTGGGCTGCAGTCTTTTGGTTGGTTGGCAGTGACCCTGCTTAATCATGGCACCACCTCCTCTCCTTTCAGCTTTTCCCCAATATCTGCTGGCTATCCTCCTGAAAAACGAACACTAGAACGAGAATTGGGAACTAATTCAAGGGAGTTTACAGGGGATTGACAGGGGTGTACTTTTGACGACGTTGAAGCTCTGTAACTTGGAGCTATGATTCAGAGCCGTAGGAGTGTGGGTTTGGCCTCGCCTGGAAGCAGCTTTGTCGCACTGGGTGGGCGGCCTTCAAGCTCGTGAACCAAATATCTGGAAAGCATGATTTCTGGGGTAGGATCATTTTAGTTCTTTCTGACCCTTAAACTGTGCGCGTGGCTTTCTCTGGAGATGGGGGGCTTCCCCGCTGCCTCGGAGCGTCAGCCAACACGACTGGCAGGGAGCACACCCAGCGCTGACCTTGGTGAGGACCGTCTCGCCATCATCTGCCATTGGCAGTGGTTTATGGTTTACTCTTCTCTGGGTTCTCACTTTCAAGGTGAGACCTGAAGCAACGCTCGTTATTACCCATAGCTGTACTAAGCCGTCATTCTTTTCAGTGAGTTGGTGATTAACAAAAATGGAATCCTTGTGACTAACAGAATGAACAGAAATGTTCTGGAATAAGCTTGGAAGGTGAAAGGGCAGCTTACTTTTTCCTGGATCAAGCCTTTAAGTCTTTAATGGCAAGCACTGGGACTTGCTACCAAGGGTGCCTTAGTATTCATTTTGAAGTTTTCATTTATTCAACCTAAAAAAAAAAAACCTTTTAAAACATTGGGACCTTTTCCTCTCAGATTATTTTAGTAGAAGACTGTATTTCAGACATATTTAATTTTTTTTTCAATCGGAAACATTTCAGACCCCACAGAAGTAGAGAAAATTGTATAATGACATGAAGCACTATGTACTCATCATTCAGCTTCAAGTTCATCCATGAAACAATTCGGCAGTTTCCATTATAAGCCACTAGGCACAAACTTTCAATGTATTCTTCTTTTTTTTGGTGTGTCTGTTTTTAAATCATTTTATTGGGGCTCGTACAGCTCTTATCACAATCCATACATTCATCCATCGTGTCAAGCACAGTGTACAT